ATGTTCATCAATCAGACTTTGTATTCATTTAGATACTCATGTACTCAGTGACACCGGATTTTGGGAGTGTATATTTGAAATTGTGAGATTTCTTCTGCTGAGTTTAATTATTTTGTTTTCAAATTTAAAAGATATGGTATTTTATTGAGATTTTCGGCTTGCCTAGTATTGAGATAGGCCCCATCACGACATGTGAGATTTTGGGTCGTGACACAACAGTATCATCATCTACTTCGATATTGCATACATCATTAAAATTTTTAACTCTTACTAATATTTTTCCATGCAAGTCCCACACTTTATAACTATCCCAGAAACCTTTCCCTACCAAGTCTCTTCTTACTTGGATTCTTGTCTTGAACGCAATATTTCTACACCCTTTACAAGGAGACCGAATTATAGAGCTTACATTTGGTTGACTATATGCCCAACCAAGAAAGTCATTTATTCCTTTAATATACCTTCTGTCACATCTATCCCTAATATTCAACCAAATTTTATCCATATCTTTCAACAAAAAGAAATGCAATCAATTAAGTAATTAAAGAGAATCAATAATCAAAGCAAACCAATTATATAAGCAAGTGGTTAACTCAATGATTCTACACGAGTATAAATCAATAATGAAAACACAAGCTATATAAATAAGGTCTGAACTGAATGATTCTACACACGTACACACACTAGGATATAGGACATCAATTTTTTATAATAATGAGAATACATTGGATATGCTAAAAAATAATTAAATACCATAAAATGGTCTTATAGAAGACAAGCCTCCAAAAAAATCAATTCAATTGTCATATAAGGTTAGACTAAGGTTATTTTCCCCTTCTCAAAAAATGAAGAATCTCTTGTCTAACTTTAAATGTCATGAATGAACTCTCATTAAGACTCATAGTTCAGAAGATGATTTAATATAGATCCTTTAAATTAACACATGTAATCATTTTGTATTATCGGTAAAACTAAAATAGATTAGTTAATGGAATTTCAACGGAGACAAACACTCATACTGAGAAAGAACATATATTATAAAATGTAGGGAATGAAACTAATAGTTTAGTTAATGGTTTTTTCTTGTTTATTAAATCATTTCTCTTCTAATAATATTCAGAAATATATATATTATAAAATTAGAGGAATGAAATCCTATAATACCTTCAAGCGAAAAACCCACATAATGGCATCAATCACCCACAAACCTCACTTTTTTCTATCCCAAAAATATTCTTTTATTAGAAAGACTACACACAAAACAATCCCAACGAAATCTAATGAAAAAATAAGGAGAAAGTATCTGATAGTACAGATTGTACACTAGACAAATCTAGAGAAAAAAACAGAGGTTGGCTGATATGTATATGAGTATCTTTTCTTCAACAATAAAGTTGAACCCAAGCAACAAATAATCCCTAAACTGATTGAGAAGAAATAACTTACTAATGTTCTCTGGTAAAACCTCAGAAAATCAAAGAAACAATACACCTTCGTTGGGTTATTCAGCGCAGCAGGGGAAAAATCTCCATTTGGGTGAGAATCGTCACTTGGATTTGTCGATTTTGTGTGCTGGCTTAGGGCTATTTTGAAGAGAGAATTTCCATTTGGGTTTTGAGATTAGAAATTGATCTCTTGAGCGTGAGATCCCTGCCCTTTTGAGTTAGGGTTACTTTTGAGTTATATTCCCTTTTTGAGAGTGAGAGATTTTTGAGAATTGAGAGCAGATTCTTTTAACTTTAAAAAGTAGAATAAATAACTTTATATATTTCTGAAGTGTTTGTATTTTAATTTATCCTTAAAATTTTAAAATAAAAAAAATAGTGGCGATCAAATTTCCACAAAAGTCAACGAGCTAACTTTTTGGAGCCATTTTTTCTCCTTTAGCGGGAAAGTAAAACTTTGTCACGTAGCTAAAAATATTTGTTGCGATTAGGTAAAGTTGTCACTATAGTGTCTTTTCTGTAGCGACCTTTTATAGTCGCCACAAATAACTTTACCTTTCTATTGCGATTTGCTAGAGTCGCCACTAAATCCCTTACTTTTGTGGCGATTAGTAAAGTCGCCACTGATACTTGCTACTAAAAATCTTTTTTCTTGTAGTGTCAAGAATTTCAAATTAGGCAATCGTCCTCCTAATGTCATCCACATTATACACTACCATTTCAGTAGTATCCGAACCACCTTCTAGCCACCATTCTTTGATTGGTTTTAATGTTGATTGTCTCTTATCAATGACTCTAAAGGGAGATTTGTGTCATGTAGCATTTAAATGCGACCATAACGTAGTAGTCTCATTCTTGCTACCTGCAATAAATATTTTAGGACAATAATTATATTTTGCCTTACATTTACCTCCTTTAGCAATAAATTTGGAGAAGTGATTTCAAATCTCGGACGTCCTGCCACTATTCCCAGATTTAGAATTTTCTGATGGAGTCGTTCTTTTTTACTTTTTAGGAGGAGTGCGTCGATGAGGAATATCTTTACTTTGTTGTTGAGCTGCCACTAGCCAAGGATTATTGACAACCACCTTGCATCTGATCCAGAAGTTGTAGTTTTCATTCGGAGAAAGAGTTCCTGCAAATAGAACATATTCAGTTACTATTTAACTCTCTTAAAATAAAAGAACGATGGGATGCAAGCTATGATAAAATTAAACTTATCTATACTCAATATTTTTTTAAGCAACAGTATAGTGAACTCAAGTTAATCATTTAAGAGAAACAAAATGACACATGAATTCGACAATAGGGAGGAATACAACTGATTTGCAATAAAACTCGCTAATTGAAAAAAAGAAAACTCTTAGTTAATCGGGAAAAAGAAAATCGTATGTATGCAGCTAAAAGATAACATGTAAAATAAGAAAAGGGAAAAGCCTTACCGATGAGAGCAAAAGAGAGTTGATAGAGTTTGAGCTAATTTGGTTGGAGCTAATTGGGGGTTTTGGAATGGAACGTAGGGTTTCTTGCTTGTGAAGAAGAGGCAAAATGGTTTCAATTGTTTTAGAACTAGTTTGACTAGTGTAGTTCTGCTTTAGGACTATTTTTTGGTTTGGGCTCAATTATTCTTTTATGGGCCAGACAAAAAAAAAATTATTTACATGGTCTATAAAACCAACTTAAAATATTATGCTACATATAGAAATTATTTTAAAAAATAAGAAATATTTATAACTTACATTCTAATAAATATTTTTAGCTAACTAATTTATATATTTAGCTATCTAATATACTCCCTCCGTTCACTACTTGGCATGTATACTAAAAATAGATTTTTATTTTTACTTGTCACTTTACGCATATCAAGAGAAAGACAATTTTTTTTTCATGTTATACCCACATTATTTATTACTCATTTCAAATCATTTTCTCCAATCCAATAAAATATGCACCAATTAATATGAGTATCATGGTAAATTATACACTTTATTTATTATTTCTTAAGGGGCGTGAAAAGTCAAAATGTGCCAAGTAAAAGTGAATGGAGGGGAGTATAAAATATGTATACATGTAATGTCAGGTTGGTTTGGTTTCGGTTTGACTTTTTTTAGTTAATACCAAACCAAACCTATTATGGTCGGATTTTATTTTTCAATACCAAACCAAGTCAAATCAAACCACTAGTCGGATTTTTTTCCGGATTAACTCAAATTATCGAATTGGTGCGGATTTTCGATTTGGTTTGTACACCACTAAAAGAGGCTATAGAGGCTATAGTTGACTGCCTCATTCTACTCGACGTTACTCAGTTGGTGAATAAGGTCTTAGTCTATATGGAAAGTTTAAACATATCATTAATAAGTTTATATTCAAAGGAAGACTAGTTGAAATTCATGTCCATCTCAATCTCAAAGCAATGCGAGTTTATCTTGAAGAAATAAGCAGCCTTACAAAAATAATAAGTTGTAAGAATGGTTCAATGAATCCAAATTTCAACTTTTCTTATAGCATGTTTGGCCGGAGAAATTAGCTTATTTTAATAAGTATTTTTTTCAAAAGTACTTTTGAAAAAAGTATTTTTGGAGAGAAGCAGTTTGTGTTTGACTAATCACTCTGAAAAGCACTTTTGAGCAATATTTTATATTTGGCCAAATTTTTCAGAAAGTATTTTTTAAGTATCAAATTACGAATAAGGATATGAATAGATTTACTTAATAGTTAATATTATAAGTAAATAAATAATCTCAAAAATTTGTTATTATATGCAATAATTAAATCTTTTTATTTTATTTAAGTACAATATGAAAATAAAATTTAAAAGTACTTAGTTATTTTAATATAAGTTAAATATATTAAAAATCATTCAACAAATATAAAAGCATTCACCCCTAAAGTCACTATATATTAAAAAGTTATCCTAAAAATAATAAGAAATATTTATACCTTAATATCCTAAGTATTAGGTTTGACGGTTATTTTAGTATATATTATATTTTGTTAAGGGTATTTTTGGTAAGAAGAAAAGTCAAAATTGCTTCTGCTTCTGCTTTTGGAAAGAAGTTACTTTTTTTTTTATTCTCAGAAACTGTTTCTGCTTTTTCCCAAAAACACTTTTTTTCCCCCAAAAAACTTGGTCAAACACCTCAAGTTAGAAAAAAAAATAATACTTGTTGTCTCTTGAGAAGCTTGGCCAAACAGACTATTAATGACTATCACGAGTTCGTGGGTCAACGAACGGAGAATAGTTTATGTCACGTTTGGAAATTGGCTTTCTGCATCGGAATTGATGAATGTCCGTGGCGTAGAAGGTGATGTTCTTGCTATTTCTTCACTCATTCTAAAGCTTCATGAGAAACAAACTCAAAAAAATATTAATACTATAATAAAAATGAATGAAAAGACGTAAGCGTGCTGCTCCTAATATGAGTAATCTTGTCATTAATCATTAATAGATGATTAATGTATTACTCAAGAAGTGGGCAGTGAAAAGACCAGTACAGCAGAATGAATCGGAAATCACTTATTATGACAGATGACCAAGAAAGAAAAGCTCCGTATTCGAACATTAGTTAATGTTATAACGCTTTATAATAGTTTCGACAGTTGCTTCTAGAGTCGAAATTTGACCTTTCTGTTGAATAAATAGAAAACCAGAGAATCTTTATTAGTACTTTGTTACATTGCCTGAAGCATAAAATTTGACATAAACAATGCAGTATTCTACCAGACTATTACCATAACAACGGGTTGAATCCGAAATGTCCAAATTTCTACATCATCTTCACTTGAATAGCTTGTAAAATTGCAAGTGATTCTCTCCCCGAAACAGAGATAGTTGTTCACGTATCGCGGACTTGAATGTTGAGCCTTCTGAGCCAAATTGAATGAAGAATCATATGAAAAACATCATATCTTTTAGGAGGGAAATTTACCTCAAAATGCCTCCTTACTTGAAGTCCTCTCTTCTGCATTTTAATGTACTGTTTTTGAGATATTGACATCAAAATCTTCTTCAAATTAGGTATATCATTTGAAGTCATCTCAACAGCAAAACTTTTCCAGTTCAAAACATCACTAAAAGGTGCAACATAATTATCTTTCAATAGTACAGGAACACATCCCATGTAAAATGCCTCAACCATTCTTGGACTAGCCACTTCCCATCCACTAGGACAAATACAAAACTTACTCTTTCTAATCATACCATAATATGAAACATTCTTAGGAAGGTACTCATGAATTTGCACTTCTGGATCATCATTTCCCCCCCATTGTTCCATTAACACTTGCCTTATGTAGCCATGAATACCTCCTGCGTAAAAGACTAAAATAGAACGTTGGGACGGAGATGGCCCTCCAATTAAACCTTCCATTGTACCCTGAGGGAGATAGATTTCTGGCAAAGTTACATCCTTTGATGGATTGAATCTTTCAGAAGTGTTCGCGTTGCATAATACTCTAATCGAGTTCTTGTACAAGTATGGAACCGCGGTGGAAATTTCAGGAGCCTGCAATATAGGAGTATAACTTTAAAAAGACTTGAGAAGAACTATACTCTAACTCATATAATTCAAGAAAATATCAGGATAATTTCAAGACCTACCATTTACAAAAACAAATTCTGTCTCACAAGGGCTTAATGAACTATGATTCTTAGGCCTTCGGTTAATCATCAAGTCTTTAAATTAGGAAAGTTTTTCTTTAGTGTGTTGATGCTTTTCTTCAACAATCTTTCAGTAATAGAGTAGTTTAAAAGAATTTGGGAAAAGGTTGTTGTTAGCTAATCGTCTTGCATTTGCTCTCGACTTTAACTCCAGTATGGACCGGGTGGATTCTACGTCCCAAAATATTTCGAGAAAAACGTTTTATGGTTTGAAATTATCCTTTGTTACGCTTCAGGTTGGAGGGTCAATAGAAAATACGAGACGATTTGCTAACGATCAAGGGCCCCAAAGTATAACTGCTAAGATTAAAATATTTCGTACAGTGTAGGGGGTGAAATTTGACCATTTTCCCTTGAGAAAAAGTGGTGATTCCTTACCCAATCATGGCAAGCAAGCATGAAATGATCAGATCCAAGGCTTCTATTCCAATAAAGGTATTTTCTGGAGATACTATCAATATAATCAGCAGCTGTATTCTTCATAGGACCCCATTGGTGAGAATCAACAACATAAACATAGCTTACTATGGAAAATACACTGAATGGAAGGAAGTAAACATGAGCTTTCTCAGGATCATTCGTCCGAAATTTGCTAATCTCAATCTGATGAATTAGAATTCCTTCTATTCCAAGGATACCTTCACTTGAACTATAATGAAAAACAGGGGGTTCACCTTCCTCGTATACGTAAATCTTGAAATGTTTTTCCATTTCCAAGTAGCTCCTGCAATTTCCAACTAAAGAATCTTAAATACAATAGCCATTAATTCAATCTTTGCTCCATCAACTCTCTAGGATTATAAATAGCAACATTCATATCTAGAAGGATTATTACAAAATAATCACCACTAGGCAAGTCTGAGAAGGAATGAATAGGTCCAGGATTTTTTCTATTATCAATTGGTTGGAAAGGCGAAATTACACAATAAACAAACACTAGAAAATGTTTTCCGGAAGAACCAAACAAGGAAAAATAAGTGAGAAAACCATGAAAAACATTTTCCTTCTTACCAAACACACCCTAAGTCTTAAATAAATTCCTTAGGCAAAGAAGCAAATGGCCTAAAACTACAAGTTTATATAAGATAGAAAAATGGTGGATCAAGCAATGGGTTCGCGGTTCAGTAGTGCCAATGTTTTGGGGTTGAAACCAGTATCTATGTGCAAAAAAGAGTATAGGTGAAGTTACATAAATATTTCAAAATCCATTCTTTGAACTCAGTAACCACAACGTCTAAATTTTGAATATGCCACTGACTCGGAACATTACCCAAAATATATGCGAATTGGCTAATACCTGTGAAAGGCACTGGAATTCCAGTAACATGGACCTTTAGGTGCATATTCAGAGTCATCTGATGTTAGATTTTTAGTCTGAGCTTCTCTTATAGCAGCCCTCACTTTTCCCAATCCAGCTTCAACTTTCTCTAAATTGCTCAAATTTTTCTTGGAAGAAATCATCTGGGGTTCCTTCCTTGTAACATCTAAGCCATCTTGCTTCTACATAAACATCATATAACAAGATTAACTAACTTCACAACGCAGAAATAAATAAATAATAACAAAAGAGAAAAATTAAATTAAATCCATTTTCCGGGGAAAAGTTTGTTAGTTGTGCAAACAAAGTTCCAAACCGAAAATTGATAAGAGTAAAAAGTTACATTATGATACTTTTAATGATGCGAGGCCTTTTTGTACGCCCAATGCGTAGGGCCATCTCTGACGGCCTTAGCTCAACAAAATTTAGCATACGTAGTTGAAGAAAAGAAGAAAACAGGCTTACTGGTAGCTGATCCTTCGCCAATTCTGCTACAGTAGCAGATATAGCAGAGAGATTAGTATATGTAGGAACGTTTTTAGCAGAAGGCTGAGAAGAAAGGACCAAAATAGAGTTTTTTGAACTCTGTACACCCAAATACCATGCAGCTAATAGAACTAATGGCACTATAATTAACCATACAACTCTTGAAGGAGGACGACAATACATCAAGTTCATTTTTTTTTTTTTACTTTTCTTCAGTTAGTAACTCATTAATTATTAAACTCAATCATACACAAAAAGACATAACTTGTGCTTGTAAATATATACACTTCTTGGCGTGATACTTTTGGTTTGACTTGAGAGGGTAAAGTGAAAGAGAAGAAAAAAAAGCTACATTCCTAGGATTTTATATCACACCATATATGGGTCCATGCCATAGGCCTCCTGCCAAGCGTCATGCTTCTTTGTTACTCATAATCTCTCTCACCAAATGCAAATCTCCATGCAAATAAGGAGACAATTTGATCATGCCCAACTATGCCTTATAAAAAGATTAAGCGGTCGTTGCAAATATATTCCAGCTAATAAGTCCGGAGTCGAATCCCATAGGGAATTAACCTATCAAACACAACTATTAAACTCGCACGAACTCACACAATCAATCTTCAGAAATATTTAAGTAATAATTTAGATGTTTACTAACTAAATATTACGTAATGAAAATGCAACAATTAATAACTAACTACTAACGGGTTGTAGACAAGTTGTGGAATGATCTAAGGTTGTGATTTCCCCTATTGTCGGAATCTTTTCCGCTACGTTTTCTATAAATTCGCCTAAGTCTTCTCTATCGATCATGAGCATTCTGATTGTCGTAACTCTCTCCCGAGTAATTACCATAATTTACTAGACATATTCTCTCGAATTACGCTAGCTGGCATTAAGTACGGCTTACTCGGATCACACCAAGGTTTCGTGATCCCTAATCCCACCTTTAAACCCTTCGTATTGATCCCTCATATACGTTAGGAGTGATATTGTTCAACAACTACCTAAATATGCACTCTCTCCCGAGTAATACATACTAAATAGGCACAACCAATTGAGGGCCCTTCAATCAACCACAATAATATTATAGTTGAACAAATAGAGAAAATGCTACGGCAAATCTATACTAACGTAACAAGAAAATCATCCTTCAACAGATTCCATCAAAACCTTAGATTAGGAGTTTAGCTACTCATACTCATAGTAACAATATCCAAAATATTTTTCATAATTAAATTATAAAGTAAGGATAAAGGGATGTAGGAATCGATGAGTCTAGCTCCCAACGGTTGTTCCACGAGCTATCCTTGCCTCCGGTTGCCAAAAGTTCCCAAAAATGGCATTTTTAGGTCTATTTATATGTTTAGGAAAAGACCTAAACGCGCAGGCCAAGTCCTAGTCAAACCAGGAGATGAAATAAGTCTTCAAAGCTCGGAATATGCGTGCCTCAGACCTGGCCTCGCTAGGCATAACGCCAGCTTAAGCTCGCCCCAGGCCTGGCGTCGCGAGGTATAACGCCTGCTTGAGCTCACCCCAGGCCTGGTGTCGCTAGCTCCCATGTGAGCTAAAGGGCTCGCCCAGCCTACTCTAACACCTGCTCTAGGCCTGGCTTCGCCAGCTTTTCATTTGTCGGCTGCTCACTTCTTTCTTTCTTCTTTTCAACTGTTTTCGAGCACGCTTTAGACTTTCATTATTCCTTTTGCTCTACTTTCATCTCCAATTCACCTACACATAAAATAGACTCCATTACGCACAAATAAAGTGTAATTTATCATTAAAGCATATAAAATGCAAGGCGAATAATGTGCTAAACTGTGGAATTATAGCCACACATCAATACCCCACACTTAAACATTGCTCATCCTCGAGCAATCAAACTACACTTATAGACACAACCTTTCTAAACAATTCCCTTAACTCATTACACCAAGAATATTTAAAATAGTCTAAGCCCAAAGGTGTAACATCCTCGCCTCAAGATTTGACTCTCAAATACCATGCCTTATTCGCAATTCACTTACTTACTCTAAGATGGAGGTCAAGCACATTACCTTTCCCTTATGAATCACGTGCCCTCACCCAATCAAAGAGCTTAGTTCCACACACAATGAATTTTAAGAATGTAGGAACTCAAGATAGGAAAAATTCACTCGCTCTCAGAAATAACATTCATATGCCACAAATGACGCACCATAGGCTTGCCCATAGTGTAATACTCTACTAATCGAGTTCATTCAGTCTAAGATCAAGTAGGACTTTTGTTGGTTGTAATGTAGGTTGTGGGTCGGGTAGGGTACATTTGGATATGAGTGACTACACCTCCCTTAAGCACTTTAATACATATACTTTAATACAACAGCTCATACTTATGTCAAACCCAACATTCCACCTCCACTTCATATTATATTATCCCATACTTCTTTAAGCACAAGTATATCACTAGCCACCATCATCAAGATTTATTTTTCATACAATACACTATTATCATTTTTCTCTCTTTTTTTTCCCTTTCTCTTCAAGTGGCTTTTATTGACATTTTTTTTTAAAACAATGCACCTTTCTCTTTATTTCAATTGTTTCACTCAAAAGCCAACCCACCACCCCACACTTTAACTTTTTCATAATTCATCATAATTCAAGTGCTCATGAGAGGTGACAAGGTTCAATTATATGGTCTATTAAAACAAAGGGGTACGACTTGTAATGTGGTTACCAAAGAAATATGATTATAGGCTCAAAGGGGTTCACTACGATACATAACATTTAGGTGGGTAACTATATATATTTGGCTTAACAAAGAAATGCCTATATCACTTCCTAGACTGAACAAGACTACTTTTTCGCTTTGCACACACACGGGGCAAGTTCTAGATACCAAATGCAATGCACAGAATACATACAAAACCTCACACAGACATGACATATAACTCACTCAGGATTGGTTTCATCGCGACACTCCAGTCCATGCAGTTAAGCAAAATTAAGAATCTATGATTTCAGATACTTATACTAGAGTCAAAAACTAAGCCTAAGCGTCACAACCATAGTACTAACTATTCTCAAGGCATAACAAAGCTAAGAGATATTGCTGTAATTAAATGCATAGCCCCGTGGTTCCTACTCCTAAAAATTAAAACTAACTACACCCGGTTCAACTAAAATCTCTTGGAAAAGAACCGCGGCCCAAAGAAAATCCAAGGGGAAATTACTACACTACCTACAAGAAAATCTTTTTTTTTGGTTTGTTTTTCTTTAGACTTACTTCCCTCAAGAAAACTGTCTAAGAGATTCATCGTCGAGAAGAGTCCAAATTTTTTATTTTTTTTTTCTTCTAACTAACAACAAATAACTCAAACAATTAACTAAACCAATAATTAAAACAATCAACTAAAACAAAGATGACACTTACTAAAAAAACAAATAACTAAGCAAAACTAATATTTACAAGTCCGCACCCCACACTTAGATCATGCATTGTCCTCAGTGCATGCACAAAATGACAAAACAAGAAAAATGAGTATGGTGCAAGGAAAAACTCCCTGGTCATGCTGCATCGTCGCCCTCATCCTCTTTAGCTTCCCACTCTTCCTCCTGTGCTTACTCCTCCTCCTCATCATCGTCCTCATCGTCTGACTGGTCCAGCTCAGCCTCGGACTACTCAGGTGTGTTAATGTCCTGATCATCCGGAAGTCTGTATCCATCACCTCACCCAACCAGCTGCTGAGCATGAGCATTGAGCGGGAACCGCTTATCCATTAAGGTCCTCTCCTCAGTCGTTGCCGGACGACCCCCTATCCTCAGCTGCAAATCCATCATCCCATAGAAATGGGCCATAAAACTATCATCACGAGCATTGCGCTCGGCACCTGTCAACGATGGCATAACAGTCTCTTCTTTCACCCGAACACTAGTGATGTCTGTCTGTCGTATGGGCTGATCAATGATGTGGTCAAACTCTATTTCCTCCTCAACCTCCTCGTGTATTAAGAACTGACTCAAAAAATTGGCAAATGACATTCGATCGACCTTCTTACTCGTTCTTACCACAGACGTTTGGTAGCGGATCAGATGATCCACATTCACCCTTTGACCCATCATGAGAAAGTAGAGCACACAAGTCCTCTCTCGGCTAATGAGTGTGTCATGATTGCACGGTAGGAGCCGTGCATTAATCAGTTTCAAAACAAACTTGAGCCACCGCCCTCATCTTCTTTTTGGGGAACTTCTTGTGACTATTTGTTTTCTTATCACGGATCCACGCTGCCATAGAATTGACACCACATAACGTGTATCTCATCTCTCTATATGTAGGACGGCGAATGAAGTAGTCTAATGGCTCCACAGGAACATCCGGAGCACCTAAAAAGTTACATATAGCTGTGGCTGAAAAGTTTATCAACCGTCCACGAATCAGCACCAGTTGTTCGGTATCCTGTGGATTAAACCCTACATAGAATTCCCGCACTAGATTGAGATTAATATCCCATGTGTTCTTGAAGACATAGCTCAACCCCAAATCATGGATGCCCCTCCAAATAGCCTGGTACTTAGCTTGCAATCGGCGCTCATGGATAGCGGCTTCCGGATGTACATGTTTAGGCCTATATCGCATGTACCAATCCTTAGTATGCAGGGGTATGCTTCTGATTCCAAACTCCCGTTGGCCTTGGGGTTATGGACGCATGGCTGCTACAGCTGCCACAACTTATGCTCCTTTACCTTGACTAGAGGTAGATTCTCCCCCTTTTCTCTTCTTTGGGGTAGGTGCGGAGGTCGCCTTTGCTTTAGCCGGAGCAGTGGAAGTAGCCTTTCCTTTGCCGGTATCTTTTCTCGGAGGCATATTCGTTCCTACAAAAGTAATAATTAATCAGTTAAAACTGCATTACGATATGACACATATGGTCTTGCCCAAATTTTCGAGGTTACTCAGACTTCACCTCGTATTTTCTTAACATGAGAATCAAACAACAACACATGGGTGATTCCTCCAATTTCGAAGCATCGGGCTACCAGTGAGGCACCCCACACTTGAGATTTTAGCGTGGTGCACTACTACATAACATAAGTCTATTAATCCCGGAGACTCGGGCTTCAATGGGGACAAGGAATGCCATTGCGGCATTATAGCAAACACTTAGCATGCACTGGTTCCATGGGAGTGCTTGTAGGGGTGAGGGATTGCCTCACCCTCCCAAATCGGCTTGGGAGTTTCTTACTACCACTTGTTCACACAATATCAACACCATTCATATGGGGTTCATGGGGTTGGGACACACAAACACAATACTACAATGAAGAACAACCCCC